TATGTGCGTATGATTAGGTGAGATTACGTGTATGTGACATTTCTGGTGAGAGAGAGAGAGAGAGAGACGTAATTATTAATCTCCACGGAAAATTAATTTGCCAAATATAGGATCTCCCAGGGGTATAACGGAAGGCGGAGGAGGATGGATGAGCTGGTCTCCAAACACACACACACACACACACACACATATATCTTGGGGGGTTGGTCACGGTGCTCACCATCTTTTCTTGTAGTGGTGATCACGGGAGGTAAAGTAGGGGGTTGAAGTGTTACTGGTGCCTTTGTTATGATGACGATTGTGGTGGTGATTATGACAGTCTTTAGTAGATCATATTACTACTACTACTACTGTTGGTGTTAGTAGTGGTGACGAGTGGTGGTGTGTTTGCCATTCTTGCTGTCGTTGCTGGGGGATGACCTCAGCAGTGCACGCGAGATTTTAATTGGTTTTTTGAGTGTCCGTGATGTGGTTCAGACGACATACTTGCCCCCGGTGCGTGAGGGCTGTAGTGTGTGTGTGTGGTGATGGTGTGTATGTATGTATGTATGTATGTATGTATGTATGTGTGTTGGTGATGGTTGGTGTGTGTGGTTGTAGTGATGATGTGTGTGTGAGTGTGTGTGTGATGGTTGGTGAGTGTGGTGGTGGTGATGGTTGGTGAGCAGAGTGTGGTGGTGGTGATGGTTGGTGAGTGTGGTGGTGGTGATGGTTGGTGAGAGTGTGGTGGTGGTGGTGATGATGGTGGATGGCAGGAGGTGGTGGTGGTGGTGATGGTTGGTGAGTGTGGTGATGGTTGGTGAGTGTGGTGGTGGCTGGTGAGTATGGTGATGGCTGGTGAGTATGGTGATGAGTTGGTGAGTGTGGTGGTGGTTGGTGAGTGTGGTGATGGTTGGTGAGTGTGGTGGTGGTGGTGATGGCTGGTGAGTGTGGTGATGGTTGGTGAGGCGGTGGATGGCCAGGAGTGTGGTGGTGGATGGCTGGAGTGTGTGGTGGTGATGGTTGGTGAGTGTGGTGGTGGTGGTGATGGTTGGTGAGTGTGGTGATGGTTGGTGAGTGTGGTGGTGGTGATGGTTGGTGAGTGTGGTGGTGGTGATGGTTGGTTCACGACACTACGCCTCAGTTCACGTCATCATAATAAGTTATGATCAGACACGTCATCCGAGACTCGGTCATCAAACACCAGAGCCTTAAGAGTGAGGTAAGACCGTATTCCTGTCTCTATAACTACACCACACCCACCGCCCACTCACCCACCCAACTCGCCGAATACCGCACTTATTGTTATACGCGGTGATACGGTTCCCGCACGATGTTGGCTCTTTAGGAAGAATTGCGACGTTTATTCTGTTGACTTGATAGCGTAAGATGTTATCAAGGGGTCAATTTAATAATTGTCAGGTCACTTTTAAGTTCATCGAGATCATGTGTGATAAGGTGGTGATAACATACCTACTGGCTTATCGCCTCCCTCCACACACCTGCACCTGATATTACTTTGGAAAGATTGTTCTTCAAAGAATTTCGGATAATGTCATTACTGTCGGCCGAGGATCTCTCTCTGAAGCTTAGCCTTCATGTTTACCACACACAATGAAGTGCTTGGAGCGTCTGTGTTGGTGAGCCGTTCTATGTGTCGTGGTATACAAAGTGATGTGAGGAGGAGGAGGAGGGGTGAACACTAGGTGAAGACAGGGGAGCTATCAGTGGGGGGGTCGTGTTGTAGATTACGACGGCGTACTGAGTGTCCCGGCTGCCGTGGACTAGACAAGTGTCGTCTCGTTCTTCCTCCAAGTTGGTACTGTGTCTCGCCTTTCCAGCCTCAACTCTTACAAATATTGTTGACATTATTGTGTGTTGTTGGGCCTCATGGCCTACCCCGCCGGATTACAGGACTCCTAGAGTAATAATCTGTTCCTGGTAAGTTTTGTTTTATTTTGGTATCATCCAAGATTATGTGTGTGTGTGGTGATAGGGAGAATGAGTCATGTAGTGCCCTGGGAAGAACTGTTATTTACCTGTTAACTAATAATAGAGAGGGTTTGTTTGTTTGTTAGGTCACGTTGTGGTTGTTGAGTGTATGATGGTGTTTGTCATGAAGGACGGAGGAGGGAGAGAAGTATGTGTGTGTGTGAGCATAATGTGGAATGTGCCATTGTTTGAGATGGGTTGCTTACCTGCGTCACCCTCACCTGTGTAGGTTGTCGTGTGTGTGCGCGCGCGCGCTGAGGTGTCCTTTTCCCTTCTCTCCTTTTTTCATTTTTCCTTTATACCACGCCCATCCTTATTAACACACACAGAGCCAGGCTGACGTCTCTCTCTCGTCACAGGACTATCTGGGTCTTAGCTGATTAAGGCGCGCTATCCGTTAATTATACTACGTTTGGGTTCTGTTTGAGGTACATACCCTCGACAACACTCCTCGTCCTCGCTCTCTCGTCCACAAAAGCAGACATGTTGACCGTGTTATACTTTACCCTGAAAGATTTTGTGTTGTTTTGACTTGTGTTTTGTGAGGTGTCCCGTGGTGGTTGTAGGGTATACTATAGCCTGACCCACTTAACCACTCTCTTCCCTACCCTACTCAACCCAACGCAGCTAAACCATGCATAAACAGACGCAACGCAACTTAACACAGCTAAACCATAATTAACTCAACCCAACTGTACCATAACCAAAATACGACCTGGTTCTATGTCAAATAGGTCCATTTAAGATGGTGGACCCATAATCAAACCATTAGGGCTGGGGTCTAATAGAAATGGAAACTATCAGGACTGGGAGCACGTTTGACCTTGGACCTATCGAGACAGGGGCCCATTTGACCTTGGACCTATCGAGACAGGGGCCCATTTAACCTCCCACATTGAAACAAAAACAACTTGATAGAGCTACTCTGATCGTGTGTTTGACTTGCTGGTGTTGTGGTTAGTGGGAAAAAAGAGATTTGGTACATTTCCCTGTGTTGCCACTGACTGGTAAAGTTGGGGATCTTTCTTTTTCCTCCCCTCCCGACTCTTGTGTTTGTGGTCCGTGAAGCGAAGACGTGTGTGTACTCTACAACAGATGTTAAGGTGATATAGAAATGGCTGGTTAAAATTCCATGTTGACTTTTATTATTATTATTATTATTATTATTATTATTATTATTATTATTATTATTATTATTATTATTATTATTACGGCCTGGGACATTTTGTATTCGTGATAAGAACATAACGTCTATATTCTCGCTAAATGTATATAAAATGTGTATTACTAAATGTTTTTTAATTATATGATTGGACCCATACTAGACCATTAACTAGTGTGGTTAACGTGTGTGTTTAACGAAGATGACCATCGCTGCTGGTAGTACTATTACATTGACCTCTAGTTAAGTGTTTAGGGTGATAAGGATCCTAGGCTTAGTTAAGATACTAGCTCGTGTGTGTGTGTGTGTGTGTGTAACATATCAGGTCATCTTGTAAATACTTAAAAAAAGAAATGCTGTAATGGATTTGAATGTCAATATGTATACGGCTAGCCATTTAGTACCTGATACGAGAAGTTTACTCAATGCTATACTGTACTGTATGTATTGCTGGTTATGTAATGATTACGACGTAGATTTCTTTAATTTGGGTTTGGGGATTTTAGTGAAAGTTTGTTCTTAAGTGTTAGAGTGGCATCGTACGAGGTGTTGCCGAGGCTGTATGTAGACGATGTTGTGAGGGTTAGATGTAACATATGCTAGTACCGTCCACATGATCCAGTTCACGTAGTGTTTGTTGATAAGGTGTTGACGTGCCCTAAGAGTCTCTGAATAGATAACAACATTCCTCTGATTGCGTAAGGTGGGATGAATGAAATAAAAACATGGAAGATTACACCTCCGTAGATTGCTTAAGACATAATCGAGTGAAGCAATAGCGGCTTTAGGACATTCCAGTGGTTACGTAGAGAGAAATGAATAAATTGAGGGAAAACAAGGATATGTGTCTTGTACGTTATAACTCAGGACTAATGCATTGATCTTGATAATACTTGGTGAGTGGGATGATGCTCACTTGTTTCACTTTTATTACTTACGACTTGTGTTGTGTTGGTAAGACTTGTGATGTGTTGGTAAGACTTGTGATGTGTTGGTAAGACTTGTGATGTGTTGGTAAGACTTGTGTTGTGTTGGTAAGACTTGTGTTGTGTTGGTAAGACTTGTGATGTGTTGGTAAGACTTGTGATGTGTTGGTAAGACTTGTGATGTGTTGGTAAGACTTGTGATGTGTTGGTAAGACTTGTGTTGTGTTGGTAAGACTTGTGATGTGTTGGTAAGACTTGTGATGTGTTGGTAAGACTTGTGTTGGTAAGACTTGTGTTGGTAAGACTTGTGTAAGACTTGTGATGTGTTGGTAAGACTTGTGATGTGTTGGTAAGACTTGTGATGTGTTGGTAAGACTTGTGATGTGTTGGTAAGACTTGTGTTGTGTTGGTAAGACTTGTGTTGTGTTGGTAAGACTTGTGTTGTGTTGGTAAGACTTGTGTTGTGTTGGTAAGACTTGTGTTGTGTTGGTAAGACTTGTGTTGTGTTGGTAAGACTTGTGATGTGTTGGTAAGACTTGTGATGTGTTGGTAAGACTTGTGATGTGTTGGTAAGACTTGTGTTGTGTTGGTAAGACTTGTGTGTGTTGGTAAGACTTGTGATGTGTTGGTAAGACTTCTTGTAAGACTTGTGTTGTGTTGGTAAGACTTGTGTTGTGTTGGTAAGACTTGTGATGTGTTGGTAAGACTTGTGATGTGTTGGTAAGACTTGTGATGTGTTGGTAAGACTTGTGATGTGTTGGTAAGACTTGTGATGTGTTGGTAAGACTTGTGTTGTGTTGGTAAGACTTGTGTTGTGTCGGAGGAGAAACTTTGGCTTTTTTATTATTTTTATTATTATTATTATTATTATTGGTTTACCTTTAAATCCTGGTCACTGGTAACACATGTAGTAGTGAGGTGGTTATGTCTCTCTCTTGCAGTGAACGTGGACGAGAAGCTGCGGGGGTCGTGTACTCTGGCGGATTACCAACTGCAGGAGGTTAGTGTCGTGCCCCGCAACTACCGCGCCCCGCCACTCTCCGTCACCGACATCTTCACCATGTCCGCCATCTCTCAGCCTCAAGACACCAAGAGACGGGGGCTGCTCTCACTCTTCAACAGGAAGGCAAAATCCGTAAGTAGTCATCGTCTTGTTATTGTTCCGCCATGGTCTAGATTCTCAAAATATTCACAAGTGGAAGATCTTATTTTTCTTCTCGTAACTGGTGATGTAAGAACGTACGTAATTGACTTAGAGTTATAAGCACACAAATAACGCTTAAAATTAACACGATAATTACACACGTCCACGGCACCAGTTAGGGGATAAATGAGCTTATGGCTTTGTCCCCCGGCTTGTGGTAATTGAATGTGTGATTTGGGTGGTAATTTTGGACTTAGTATAGGTTGTACTTTATCTCAGGTCCAATAGTTATTATTAAGTCTTACATCTTCACTTAACGAGGAACATTCAACGTGGGAACCTTTAATAATCACTCATGAAGGAGGGAGATTGTTTACCTGTCCAGGCTCAGATTCTTGGGGAAAATATTATAGTTTAAATCATTCATTTCTCACTGAAAGATTAAAGAACGCATCTTGTTAGCACTAGAGTCTGTGTGCTATTTGGACTCCCTTCCTGTAGTGATGTTTTGTGATAGTTTAATTAATTTTATAGTCGGGTATTTATTTATTTTTGCTCAGTTTAGAGGATAGAGTGAACCATATAATATAAACAGTAGTGAGAGTACAGTAGTGAGTTGTGTAGAAGATGATGATGTGGTAAAGTTACGGGTATGTGTAGGCACTACCACAACGCCTCACCACACTCCCTCATCGCCTCCGTCGGGTGTGTGTAGGGATTGCACCAGCCCTTCCTCACTCTCCGCCATCGCTTCCGTCGGGCGTGGCCGCGAGGATACCTGGGCGCTGGCGACTACCCAAGCTGCGTCTGCCCCGGCCTTGGCCTTGTGAGTCTTCTCTTGGTACTTTGTTGGTGGTGGTGCTTGATGGTCCCGTAAGCACACGCATATTCACATGAGAGCTTCTACCAGCACCATCACGTGTTGCTACCGCCCCCTGAAGTACTAAGTGTGTTGCTAGTATCTTCTGCAGGACCCCGTATGTTGTTGATACCTCAAACAGCACCCAATGTGTTGCTAGTACCTTAAACAGCACCCTATGTGTTGCTAGTGCCTCGAACAGCACCCTATGTGTTGCTAGTATCACCTGCAGTATCCCAGGTAATTCTAATACTGTATAGTCATACGATTGGTGTTGTGGGTCGACACGCAGAGAAGAGCGACGATGAATATTTCCCATAAGAACGTCTTACTTCACCCAGCTAGAGCCTGACCTTCAGGTGGGGAGAACGTGTTGGGGTTTGTAGTCAAACATCTCGGCCCAGTAAGCTAATTTTCCAGCAATATAATTATCTATTGGGATCACCTGAAAATTAGTTCCAAACCACCCTAACCTTGTCTGATTCAACTGTCCAGCTAATTTGAGGATGTTTAATCACCATAAAACTGACCTATTGTAAGAATGTGTCAGGCAGTGATGTGTCTGACTGGTGAGTATCTACGAAAGATTGTAGGTAACGTAGATAGAATGTATAAATCAGACTTGCCGTTGGTGGCGCCTCTGAGGACTGGCGACAGGGACTCGGCGCCTCGTTTAGAACAACTCAGCCTAAAGCTAGACTTGCATCATCGTCACAGGCCCCACGATGCATTTTTACTCTCACATTAATACGTAGATACACAACTTTTGGACTTGTTCTCTTCCTCCAGGCTGAGGTAAGAATATCCTGGTGTTGGTAATATATTTCACAAATGTAAAAACACCAACAAGGCTGTCAGTGGCGCAATGATATCACCCCCCTCTCTCTCTTCCTCCCCCAGCAGCTGATAGTGACCAATGAGTGTTATGATCAGTGAGTGAATGGTGGAGTGTTGGGTCAATATGAGTGTGGGTAAGTGGGAGGGGCGGACACCTGCCTCGTCTGTCAACTTGTCCCCGGACTGATTTTTGGTGTAAGAGTTTGTGACTTTAGTGAATGGTTTTTAGTATTCCCGTCAGTGGACACACCTGTATCGACTTAACCTCCGTCGAACAGTTGTGATATATATATATATATATATATATATATATATATATATATATATATATATATATATATATATATATATATATATATATATATATATATATAAAACAAAGAAGTCTGTCTGTCTGTCTGTTTATTTGTTTGTGTGTCTGCACGAGAATCTCGGAAATTACTTTACCGATCTGTAGTGATGATGGATGATGTTATACGTAGTGATGATGGATATTGTTATATGTAGTGATGATGGGTGGTGTTATATGTAGTGATTAGACAATAAAATAAGAACAGTTTAATGCAAACAAATATACTTTGCTGTACCGTTGTAGTGAAAAACATGGTGGAACTTACATACACCGTTAATGAACTATTGATGGAAGAAGAAGTTTTGGGGACTGAACAGTGAGACAATGTGGAGCCTCCCGGAGGGTAGCGTCCTACCGTTGCCTAGCGGAGGCGATTCTGCCTCTGAAGATGTGTATATATATATATATATATATATATATCTTCAGAGGCAACTGAAGCTAAAGGTGCTCCTTGTGTTTCTTCTTCCCGTGTGATTTTATAAGATTTATCTTATCCACGTTTTCTATATATATATATATATATATATATATATATATATATATATATATATATATATATATATATATGGAGTTGTGAACATGTAATTCCTGTAAAACTATACACACGCGCTCACTGGGAAGTTCTTATGTAATGTACTTGTTAAATATAAAGGTTGAGCTGGTGGGTTTAATATATACACTGCTTAATCTTCTGGTTGTCTAAACGAGCAAGTATTTGTTCTAATGTTGTATATATCAGCTGATCTACTGTACTTGTTTTTTTACTTGCATTGTTACTTAGAGACGAGTGTGTGTCCGTCTTCATACTTAATACAAGTTGCCACACGAGGGTGACGCTGGGCGGTGGAGGCATTGCTTAGTGCGTCCTGCCTCCGCGTTTTTTACTGTTGTGTCTTATGACTGCGTCACCCTCTGTTAAGTTCTCAGTCTCGTCACGCTGTGTTGTGTGTCTAGGTCCTGGCTACTGAAGAACAGCAGTGCATAACAGTAACTAACATATTCCTTAAATTATGACTTGACCAGTAATTGTTGTTAGCCCAAAGATAACATTCAGCTCGCCTGTTAACATGTTACGCAGGAGAGGCGAGTGTCCCACTGTCCCAGTCCCACCTTGGCGACTGTGTTGGCGTAGAGGAGGCTTCCTAAGTTTTACCTGAGACTTTCGTAGTATTTTTCAGACAAAACATTTTTAGCCAACACCGTGGCAGGTAGTGATGACCACAGCTCCTCTCTGTATACTACAGCGGTGAGGATACTGCTGTCAAGGCCACATACCCTTCCGTGCTTCAACCAATGTCGTCTTAACCGAGAAAATTACCAACGCAATATAACTTGACTTTGCCATTTTTAAAATTGCCTAATGCACAATCATCATTATTTGAGAAGATAATCTAAGCTGTGTTGACTCTGTAATTCTGCAAAGACGTGCAAGTGTGCAGACGACGAAGTTACAGACAGCGGCCATATTTAAATACTGTACTCTGGTACAGAGTCGTAACCGCCCTGCTGGTCAGACACTGATCACCTTATATCATCCCAGTTCTCTATATGACATCATTATATAGTGTTATATGCATATTAAATCATTACATATAATTATATAATGCCCCATTCGCTCTGTCCCAAGTTATATTATGGCAGCTGTGTGAATATGAGTGTTTGGCCCGTTTGATCAGTTGATCGTATTGTACAAGACACGTGACGGCGATCATTAGACGATGTTGTTTATCAAAATTAAATCTGACTGTACATAAACACACGTGTTCAGCCTCCAGTGATCTCGTAAACCACCCATGAGTCAGACCTGACAGCTTGGGAGACCAGATTATTGTTCCAGACCTTTATGTTATAATAGAGAACTGAGAGAGACAGTTTGGTCGACGCTGTCTGCCGGCGGCTCAGCTTACGACACCAAGGTTTAAACTGTGTCGCTGTTTAAGACTCAGTTGCCTTGGAACATTCTTTAACAAAATTACCGAGTAAGTACAACTTAAATTGTTATAAATTTATGAGAATTGTGAGTTTAGAGCATTTTAGTAAAGATGAGTCATTCTGTGCCGGTGAATTGCCTTATTAACATAAAATTGTAACAAATTGAGTGTTGACGATTTAAAAAAAAACATTTCTATTCATCTGATGATTAAGACTTTTCTTTATTCAGCTTGTGTTAGGGAACTTTTCTGATTGAGATGGTATCGTTCATAGCATTGAAGAGCTGATGAGTGGCCATGGCTTGTGTCGTAGCTAGGGATAAGTTTGCGGGACCTGACTACTTCTGGCGGGTTGACTACGATCTCGGCAGCAGCGGTGAGACGTGCTATTAGCGTTGTAGAAAGCACTTTTATCTGTCCGACAGCTAAGGGTGTGCATCGCTTCCGTGTTTTGTGTGTGTGGGGGGGGTTGTGTGCATGTGGTGTTTGTGTATTTGTTTACCGTGGGGGGATTGGAGGTTAAGTGCATTGTATAAGTGTGTGTGTGTGTGTGTTAAGGGTGGGGTGAAGTAGGGCCGGAGGGTGGGTGTGGTGGTGACGGGAAGTGGCTTAACAGGAGCAACGCCAAGCAACAGGTGGCCTAAGTGGGTGAAGTATCTCCTCCAGCTCACACCCACGCCCTGCCCTGCCCTGCCCTGCCCAGCCCCCCAGCCCAGCTCCAGCCCAGCCCAGCCCAGCCCAGCCTCCAGCCCAGCTCCAGCCCAGCCCAGCCCAGCCCAGCCCCGCCCCGCCCCTCTTTAGTTAACAGGACAGGGGGGGGACACCTAGGGGTAGCTGCTGTTGTAAGAGAGAACAGGATACTGTGGTGAGGAAGGGACAGATGGTGTGGGTAGAAGGTTAGGGCAGGAAATGGGTAGGGTGGGTTATCTATGACTTAAGGAGGCCGGAAGGTATTAGGGGTCGTGATGGTGGTGAGATGACGGTGACAGGGGGAGGGGGCAAACGGTGGGCCTGGTGGAGTGGATAAGACCCCAGATGATGTCGAGGGAAGGGGGTATCTAGATGCAGGTGTCAAGGAAATGAGTTGGGTGATCTTGATGCAGGTGTCAGGTGAGGGAAGAAGGGAGATCTAGTTACAGGTGTCAGGTGATGAGAGTTCACTGTAGTAGGTGACTCCCCTCCCCTCATCCAGGACTTAAACTGACGTGGAGACAGCGGTGAGTGATGTGGTACAGGCCATTATAATGCTCAGAGATAACACTTGACAGGAAACAAGATGGAGAGGCCAGTGTTGATGGCCACCAGTCATATTTTCTCTCGTCTGTGTTGGAATGAGGTTGGTGGGGTGGTGTGGGCTGCCAGGACAACAGCCGTGACTTTAGCGTTAGTGAAATGCTTGGTGGGGTGATAATGTGAGAGGTCTTACAGCCAAAGACGTCAGACATACCCCTTGAGGCTGGGAGTAGGGGGTGGGGTCATTGTCCTGTGTAATATTCTCTTGCTGAGATGATGTTGAGGTGTGTTAGCATCTTTGAGGTCATCTTAATTTGAAGAAGTTGACTCCTATCTCAAGTGTAGGAGTTTGCATTAAAACGCCAACAGCGAGGACGGCGGAGCTGTAGCATCGCTTCTGGTGGTGGTGAAAGTGTGGAAAGTGAAATTGAAAGAAGAGTAATTTAATGATTGTGTCGATACAGTCAGGCATCTAAGGCAGGAGGAACATTTAACACCCACTCATTCACTCACTCACTCAGTGGAGGGTTGACAAGAAAAGTTTATCTTTACATACTTTTGAGAAATATTGGAATCTTTGTTGTCAGAATCAGAATCGCTGTAAATTATACATA